GCATCAATAATATCATTAACATTAGTCTGTAAGTGACTTAAACACTATCACCACTAACTGTTTAATGTTCTGCAGTTTCTTGTTTGAGCGTTCAGGGGTCGTGGTTAGTCAGCAAAACCCTTCATCTTAACCAAAGAGCTTCCTCGATCACATGGGACACAACTAACCAATCAGAGACTCAGACTGAAACGTGACATATGAACATGTATATATTTTTAGTAAAATGATTCATATGAGTTAACGTTTGAATCTTATATAACCACAAACGCATTAAAAACATTTGCTTTGAGGAATAAGAAGTTCAAATTGTGAATTTCCAGGTTTCCTGCATACAGGCAGTGATCACACAAGAGGCAGCAACACCAGTGACATTTGTGTGTTTGTTTTTTTTAGCAGAACTACACAAAAACTGATTTGAATTCCAGAAAAGTTCATTCTGACGTCTTATTGTAGACATTTTGGTGGGAAACTGAGGGACTGTTTATGTGGCTGTTTTTGTTTGTTTTAAATAACTTGTGAATTTTAGGTCGACTCTGTGGGTATGAATTAGCTGCTAAAACATTAGCATTTTCTTTAATGTCTCTTGATTAATGTGTACTGTCCCCTAAAACCCCGAAAGAAAACCCTCGGGAAGCCCTACAGAGAAATCTGTTAACAGTTAAAGATGAATTTGAAAAATCAGATTCAGAAGTAAAGGGGATGCCTGCAGAAAAGAGACCCGATCTGATGTGAACAAATAATTCATCCCTCAAAAATTGGTAACACCGAACCAAATCCCTTCAACAATAGTTCCCTGATAGAGGCAACTTTTGCTCCTAATATTTACCAAACTTACATCATTAATTTACGCAGACCAGTGACGAGTGAAGCTCGCCGTTTGCAGTTTAGCGTGCATACAGTTGCAAGCTGCTTTGGAACCCACCCCGCCTCCCGTTTCCTGCTGTTCCCAACCTAAAGTCAGATCTGTTGCACTGATGAGTCTCGGCCATTAAGAAGATCCTGTCCTGTTGTGGTTGGTGTGTGAGAACACATGAAGTCTGGATAAATCCACACTTGACACTTTTTTCAGATGTACTCATATGAAATCTGGTAAATTTGTGGCCGTGTCATGTCTCAGAAGCTCCGCCTTCTTTTCCTCCTGAGGTCACCAGAGATCAGAATAGCTTCGCATTCACAAATTAGCAGTGCTGCTTTTACCTCCAGCAGGCGGGCCTCAGCTCGCTGTAACAACAGACCTGAGGACAGCGCCTGTGGTGGGGCTGCTGACGGCTTCTATAAGGAGAGCTGATCCTGGAAACGGCTCTGCACTTATGGCAAAAATATTTTTAGAGCTCGGTAGCTCCCCAAAACTCACTGCTGAGGTTTCTCAAGGTTGTCATTATTATAATGTCGGGTTTGCTGGTTGGAAAAGCAGCTCAGAGTCCTGGATATAAGGGTCACAGGACATATATGTACATACGCTTTAGTTTTTAGACTAAAAATGCACTGAAAAATCATTTGTAGCAAACTGTTTGCATATACAGCATCAGTTACTGCTCTTTTAGTTATTGACTTCTTTAAATCAGTTGGAAACATTTCACAGATAATGTGCAGACTGACCAAAGGACGTGACAAGCAAAGACTTCACTGGTGCGTCTGAAACGTGAATACTGTGGTTTCATTAGGTTCCTCTGATGGGAAGCTTGAGTATGTTTGGCTTTATTTGTCACTTTAAATGTCAGGTTTGAAGGCTTAGTTTGGTTTCTGTTGGACAAACTGCTGCCAACAATAATCAGTAATGGGAATAATGAGGGAATACGGCTCTCCTGGAATAACCTGAAGGATAAAAGGGTTAAAGATGAGCTATGTGGGCTAAATAAAGCTCCAGCAGCAGAGTCTTGTCTGACCTTTGTGGGCACGGCGGAGAGCTTGGAGTTAAGGTGGATTTATATGATTCCCTCTGATCTGATGATGGATGAAACAAAAAGGCTGCCTGACTCTGTAACTAGTGGTTTCCACTGTTGTTTAGCTACAAATCCCCAGAATAACTTCTCAGAGGAACAAAGCGCCCCGCTGCTCAGGCCTTCTCATTAGTCTGGGGTTTCCTGGCTCGCCGGTGCTGCCGGAGCCCACCGAGTTGGCGTGGTGAGGTCACACCCTCCTGGTGACATCATATAGCCACGCCCTTCTTTCCTGCAGGCTGGAGTTTTTCTTCTTGCTCTCAGCCTCTTTGTCACTTCTGTCCCACATGTTCTGAGCACTTCTGCTTTTTATGATCGGCAGCTAAACCGAGAGCTCTTTGAGTTCTCCATAATAAGGATCCAGTGTGTCAGTGCAGGTCACACACTGGACACCTTTATGGAAGAGCTCCTAAACTCCAGACTTTTGTGACCTGCATGAATCGATAGACCTCGCAGGACCTGAAGATCTGATTTAACCAGCAGAGCTCGATCCAGATGTTGCGCCGTCACATCAAAAACCTCAAAATGTTTTAAATGTTTAAACCATAATATAGATTATTACAGCAGCTGTTTCTCTGCTGTGGCATAAAAAATACATTCATGAGACGAGAAATTTCACCAGTTAATATTTGACATGATTCACCTTTTTACTGGAAACCAGTCCAGGCGGCGACCTCATAAAGTTGTCAATGCGAATGTTCGCTCGCTACTTTTATTACTACCGTCTGATTTGATCATTTTCGTGTCTTTTTTCCCATCGCGGCTATTTTAGGAACGAAGGAGCCGTTCACGTCTCCTTTGAGATCCCAGCATGATGTCAGACTTGGTGTCTGTTGGGAGTGGTTTGAGTTTGGAGCCTGGGAGTGAGAACATCACATGGCAGAGCTTCAGAATGCTGCTTTTGGTTTCCAGACTTGGTTTTAGGTTAGAATCAGGTGTAGGCCGGGGTGAGCTGTCTGGGAATGTGCTGACTCGGAGGGTTTTCACATGGACTCGTGTGTTCCCGGGGAGTTGCCGGGCTGTCCTTACACCGAGAATAAAATGATGCAAATATGTTTTTCCCTCAGTGCGCGTTTAAAAAATTAATGTGTGATGCTGAGAGTCTTTTATTGCAATGAGAGTTTTTAACGTGTGAAGCTGCATGCTGGGGATTTCTGACTGAAATAGTGATCATCAGCATCAGATATGCTGACTGAAACTGTCCTTATTATGAGCTCGGTGGCTCTGCAGCTGCCGAGTGATGAGTCGATGTTTGTTTACATTTTAATTTCTATTTATCCGCAGTGTTGGTCAAGTTACTTGAAAAAAGTAATCAGTACGATTTACAACCTGAATAGATAAAGTGATAGATCTTTCAGCCCAAAATGTAATCAAATGGAAAAGTCTCTTTTTAAAACTTGTTTTATTAGTTTTAATCTTTTAACTTTATGCATCAAGCAAACATTAAATTTTATGCAACATTCTCTGACTGGAAGAAATTAGTTTAACATTTAAACCTATTTTCTGCACATTCCAGCACATAAAATAAAATATTTTTGTGTTTACACTCAGTCTTTCAAATAGATGCAAGTAAAACACAGCAGAAAATAAATAAAGTCAAAGACTAGCGGTCCTGTTGCTCTATTTTCACCTGTAAAGCAGGAGTGGGGTAGGCGGAGGGTTACCCTGGTGCAGGTGTGCAGCGGTCAGTGGAAGAATCCGCGAGTTTCTCTGTGAGTTTCCCATTACGTCGTAGCTACTCGGTGTTTGCTTGGAAGTTTAGGGTTTTTTCGCTGTAAAAAGAAGTTTTCTTCCCACGCACAACGGACACTAATGTTTTTGTCACTTTTTATGGAATCAAACTCAAAGTAAGGTCAGTACTTCCACGCTTTAAACGCTGCACGCTCATACTCTCTCTGTACTCGATATATGATCCATTGTTGATCTGCACACAGCTGTTGTCACGAACGTCGCACTCGCTTACGTCACTGTCATGAGACATTCTCGCAAAAAAATCACGGTTTTAGTAACGCAGTAACGCAGCGTTCCTACGGGAAAGTAACGGTAATCTAATTACCGTTTTTGCAATAGTAATCCCTTACTTTACTCGTTACTTGAAAAAAGTAATCGGATTACAGTTACTGCCCATCTCTGTTTATCCGTATAAAAATTCCAGAGCTAAAACATCTGGACATGTTGTCATGTGACTAAAAACAAGTGAAAACTAAATATGTGAATAGAAGCCATAAACTTGTTAAAATACTTAAAAGGATAAATGGTTGAAATTGTTACAAGAAACAAGGACATTATTTGGTTTATTATTTCTAATGCTTTAGTGATAAATCTTCCATGCTTATAATTGTAAATGGGTGAAACAGCAGAAAGGGTAAAAGGTTTAAATGTGCATCGTCAAACGTAAATAGTTTGATGTGGCAGTGAGTTAAATCGCTGAAAGTGAAGCTAAATGGTTGAAATTGTTATCTGTGAGTGATGTTGATGAATAAATGGCTTACAGTGCAGTGGAGACATTATAAAAGAGGCTAAACATTGAATTAATGGTCAAACGCAGACGTAGCTGTGAAGTTAACGCGGGTAAAGTAATGGCGTCAGTGTTGAAGCTGCTGGGCTGGTGGTGAACATTCATCTCACTGCACCACAGCTGCAGAAAGCAGTGACTGAGGCTGCTGTGCTTCACGTTTCTCTTGGTAAACATCAGCGATCCTGCAGCTATGCTGGACGTAAACAGCATGAATAAAGCTGTTTGTGACAGCACGGCACCATGGGGTTGTATTCCTCGTGTTTGGACTCATTTCAACCAGTGAGTCAGTGAAAAAAGTAAAATCTCTTCTTTGTGACCATCAAACTTATTTATTGTGCACATATCTTCATCCCTCCTCATCTTGTCTCTCCTGACCGCAGCAAGCGTCCAGACCCACCTTCTTCGCCCGGAAGTTTGAGGCCAGCGTCAGTCAGGAGATCATCAGCCAGCTGGACGCCTACCTGTTCGGAGCTCTCGCCTCGGGAACTCCGGGTCTGCAGGCCTACTGGGAGAACATCTACGAGGCGGAGACAGACGGAGCCGCAGGCCTGTCGGACTCTGCGCTCACCCACTACCACGCCTTTGCTCGTATGGGACTGTCCCGCGCCGCCAGCTCGCTCCAGGGACATCCCAACGACAACAGCTGCAGGTACGAACAAGGGTGCTGGAAAACTTGCTGAAATCCCAGCCGTGTGTGTGTGCGTATGTGCATGTGCATGTATGCACTGGGGTTCAAACTTGTCCCAGAAGCATCCAAAGGCTCTTTTGTTAACACCAATAACCACAAATGGGAGCATAAACGTTGAGAGTGCATCGAATCATGACGTGTAACTTCAGGGTAAACAAACAGGAAGTGTTGTGCTTCACAGCATCGACAGAAAAACATTTTCGGATCAGCAGAAAAATGATTCTCACAGCTCAGATTATTGACTGTCACCGTTTCACACATGGACACTTCTGTGAGGATATTTTCCACAAATGCCGCACAGCAGGAATCGATCCACTTCAGAGCCGCTCGATACTGGAACTGCTCCGTGTGGGTTCGTTGAGGGGTCTGCATGAATGGAGCTTGCAGGAATAATGCCCGCTCAGTAGCAGTAAATGTAACTGTGAGCTGTAGTATTTGCACACTGGCCCAGTCTGACGTCACTGACGGGCTCCAAGCGGCTAACGTATGATCGTGTGATCCGTCTGCATCAGGCATTACGTTCTCTCACACCTCCGTCAGATGATGTTTACAGAAGCTCAGACTGGAAAGGATGTGTGAAAATGAGTTGTTGCTCAGGTTTACTGCTTTCTCTATATTAATCAAATAGTGCTGTGCAAGCTTTAATTAACATCATACTGAAAACTTGGCCTAAAGAGTCCAAACACGCCAGCCAAACAGCCTCTTTTTGGTTTGTAAAGAGGGAATTTGGGTTGTTTTGCTCAGGTTATTTTTCGAGCTCAGCTCCTCACCTGCAGGCAGGAAATGAGATAAAAACCTCGGCTTTATCAGGGGCAATCAGGCTGGGAATAGCACAGGGTGTTGCATGGGGGAGCATCCATCTCCAGGCGTAATCGTGTCTCAGGATCCCTTTTTTTCCACCGTTCTCATTTATTATCTACGTGATCGGCCGTGCAGTGTTTGCAGAGCCGTCAGGTTTGGACTCCAAGAACTTTGAAACTGTAAAATGACGAAGCTGTTGTTGGTTTGAACTCAACATCTAGAAGCATTCGTCTCATCAGGTCCAGCTCGCTGTTTGCACGGCTGTCAGAGGCTGGAGCAGAGGTGCAGGTATCACCTCCATCAGTTTCCATCAGTCTGTGTGACACACTGTTATTATTGGCCGTGCCAGTAAATTGTGCTTTTTGCAGAGAAAGAAACTGTGCAGTCGTCTTCTCGGGGGAAAGGGGAGGACTAGCAGATGAAATGTCTTTCCACCAAACTGGCCACCGCTGGTGTTTGTGCAGTCCAAATTAAATATGAAGATAAGGCGAGCTTGTTCCTTTGTACAATCAGGCTTCAGTTTCTGCACAGGCTAGATTTTTCCAGCTCCAACAGTAGGTACAAGGAGGTACTTGTTGCTGGAGCTTGGGTGGGGACTGGTGGCTGGCATGGGTGGGGGCAGCATTATGGGAGTGTGTGTGTGCAAGGGGAAGTAGGGGGTGGTTAGAAAGGGCCAGTCTGTTTCCTTCAACCTGTGATTTCAGTCAGAGACTCTAAAACCATGTCTGCAGTAACATAGATGCATTTGAAAGCAGGCAGACACGGTTCCCTTCACAGTGGTGCTGTAGTTGGTTTCACAGATCCTTGGAGATTCTCCACATCCTCTGTAGAGATTCAGGGATTCGAGCTGTCATGTTAAGAAAAAGTGTTTTCCAGGAAAAAGATTTGCCTGCCCGTCCGAATGGAAAAGGAGAAACGGACATATTTGGAGCAAAGTTCCTTTGCATGATTCAAAATAATCCTAATCTATGTCAGTAAACTCTGGCCGGTCCATCCTCTGTTTCAGCGCCCTCTCTCTTTCTTTGAGTTGTCTTTAATGGGATTGGCTTCCCCTTCAGAGCAGAAAGTCAGAATCGCAGCAGGATGGGGGGAAGTGCAGCTCACAATCAGAGCAGAAAACTGTCTGAATTTGAGCATTTACAGAGTTTAAAGCCTGAGTATATTATATATATATGAGCACTACTGCAACAGTATGTACACAACAGAAGAAAGGACTGCAGAAA